CTCTCTCTCTCTCTCTCTCTCTCTCTCTCTCTCTCTCTCTCTCTCTCACACACACACACACACACACACACACACACACACACACAGGCAACCAGAGAGAACCGCCTCGCCTCTAGACTCCCGGTTCTAAGACCACCGTGACTGTCAACGAAATATGCCAATCACAGGCAGCCTAAGCCATATCCCTGGAAACTGAGTAAAAAAATTAGGTGGAAGGCAGAAAGGAAATGAACGTAGAAACCTCCAGTGCACAAAGAAAGATCCGTATACACAAGCACGAGCAAGGAAACAGCAGGGTATCTTTTACTACACGGAGGACGCGGAGCACCACAAACAGGAACTTTAAAGGGATTGAAATCTGTTGCCTGTTCCACTAGGAATATTGTTTGCAAGGCACAAGGTGTCTTTTGGTAGTGAGCACCCTCTGCGCATGCGCAGGTCCATTCGGGAATTACTGCCCGGCCGCCGACTAAGTTGCATTCCTTGAATCTTCGCAGAAAAGACAATTCTTTAATCAGAGTTAGTAATGTGGACAGTACAAAACCGAGAGAGTTTGGGGCTTCTCTCTTTCCCTGTGATGATTGCCATGGTCTGTTGTGCACACAGGTGAGCTGCTGTTGTTGAATGTCTTTTTTTCTTGGTGTTTTTCTTTTTACATGCTTGCTGGATCATGTAGCTCGTTATTTGGGGGGTAGGTGTGCCTGTCTATTTTTATGTCTGCTCGCAGTTTGTGCTCATTCTGAATCCGGTCCCTACTTCTTCCCTTCAGCGCCAATGAGCCCAGCAACATGTCATACGTGAAAGAGACAGTGGATAGATTGCTCAAAGGTTATGACATTCGCTTGCGGCCGGACTTTGGAGGTAATGTTTCATCTTTTTTTTCAACCTGTAACCCATATCTAGTTCTCCTTTCTTGTCAAAGACAAATGTCAAAAAAAAAAAAAAAAAGAAGAAGAAGAAGAAACATGTCATTTTGGTAAGCGTGCCTTACGCCCTACGCTCTGGCCACACACACACACACACCACGCCGGAGCCCCAGTCGCAGGTGGATGAACCCCAGGCAGGGCCGACCTTCCCCCGGCCCGACACACCCTCTGCATAGTCACTGCATCATTCGTGTGCCCACACCTGTTTTCCCAGGCTGTCCCCGGCAAGGGGGTGGAGGGCTGGGGGTAGCGGAGCCCATTCAGAATGTAGATAGCGCAGGGAAGCCCCCCGACCCTCCCCAGCCTGTGGCCACTCTGAGATTATGCCCGTAATGTGTCCCACCTCCCCGGTAGGGCCCCCCGTGGACGTCGGGATGAGGATCGATGTCGCCAGCATAGACATGGTCTCCGAAGTGAACATGGTGAGTGGCCTCGCTACTGGCCCGGCAGCCGGGCTTACGCAGATGCGAAACGGACCGGTCCCCGTGCCCTCTGCGTTTCGTTGGCGGTCACCTCGCCCCGGCCCATGGATCCCGCTCCGCGCCCGCTCCCCACTCTGGCACACACACACCCTGCTGGCCCTGGTTTGTATTTTCGACACACACACACACGGGCTACTGCGGTGTTCCGGAGGAAACGTGCTCCGCACTATTTGGGGAAGGACGGTGACTGTGGCGCCGGCAGAGCCGGTGGGGCGGAGTCAGCGGTACTTTCGCTGGGTTTCCTTCGGTGTTGAGAGGCGTAGGGCACCACCTGCCGGTGGCCGGGCGGCCTGCACGAGAGGGTCCCCGCACGGTGGTCCGCGGCCGCCTACTCCGCAGGCACGGTCCCGGCAGCCGGTGAAGCGGACCCACCCACGGCCCGCCACAAAGCACCCAAGCACACAGATGAGGTTTCATAGTGTTCCCTCCCTCTTTCCAGGCTCTAGCACACCGAGTGGCAGGAGCAACAGGCTGAGACAACGGTGTCAAAGTGCTCAAGCCAGATTCTGGGGAGAGGCTTGTATTGTTCCCACGTGAGGGTTGATGAATTTGTCTTGCTGCATCTTGCGGGTTTAAGTTCAAACCGAATGGATGGAGTTATTGCTTTGCTTTGCCTTATAAACCCAAGCATGCCGAAAAAGCCTGATGATCAAAGAGACTAGAAAAGGGAGGGGGGAGGAGAGGGCGATAGCAACATAGGGAGCATAGCGCAATCTTTTCATTGCTAAGAGTTAACATTCTTTTATTTCATTTTTCCTCCTGCCTTTCTGAAGCTGTTGCAAAATGGATTGAAATCATAGCTGTCACTATCTCTGTTGGCGCTTTCCAACCACTGTGGGGTAGCAGTTTTCTAGTTAGAGTTTCCAACTGTTGCTTCTTGTAAGGCAGGGGGAAAAGCCTGTCGCTTTTCTAGAACCAACCACCCAGGGAACAGCTAGATCTACCTGAGCAAAATGCCATTTTTATTCCACTTGCGAAAAAAAATATTGTGGCAGCAGAAATTTAGACATGCTGAATAATTTAAAGACTAAAGCCTCTGGGGGTTTTATCACTCTATATTTGTAAAGGCTATTGAATTGTCATTTCATTTCATTATTAGTGAGTCATTTTATTTTAACACGCTAAGGCTTAAGAATTTTTCTTTCTTTTTTTTTTAAGGTATGTCAGGGAAAAATACGTATATTTAAAATATATTGAGTGGGATTAGAATAAAAAGTGTGACTATTAAGTTTCTGTATTTTAAAGTTGCACTTTCCCCTGCTTTAAATAGCTTATTTTAAATATTATTTTAAATTAATATCTCTGATGGCTGTATTAGAAAAACAATTTTTAAATATCAATGCACAATGAATATTCTCTGACTTGGAAAAGATTTTTAATAGACTCATTTATAATATTCTGTCACATACATGTCACTACCACAAAGCACCCAAGATGAACTATTGACAAACACTGGGGAATGTAATAACATGGGCACATATACAAATCATACCCAATCCACGCCATTGCGACTGGATAAATTAGGCAATGAATTAGTTTAAGTTGTTTGTATCATGTAGATAAATGATGATAATAATTTCCTTTTCAGTCATTTATTTTGGCACCTTGTAAGTACCCACACAGATAATTTATAAAATAGGAGAAGATTCAGAAGACTCAAAAGGCAAACAGTGCCTTTGCCAGTGGTCTGCTTTTAGAGTACTACGCTTTTCAGAATTTTTAAAATGTATAATTCTGTTGACTATATTTACAAACAACTTTTCAGTTTCAAACCAAAGACAAAACCAAAACTGAATCGAATAGGGAAGTTGCTGTTTAACTAAAACAACCACCATAACAAAAAAGCTCTGTATAATCAGTTGTTCAACTGAATTCATACAGAAGCTCAGAAAAAAAAATAATTAATTTAATTGCTGTACCACTGGAAATAGCTCTTAATGATGGAATAATATAACCTATTTACTCACTGTACCGTGTGTATATGTACTTGAGTTTTTAAAATATTCACCCAACAGATAAACCTTTAAAAAATATATTCTACTAAATTACCCATTACCTTTCCACAATAGTGTTAGAGACATGATGGGAAAATAGAAACCACTGAACATAGGAAAATAATAAACCTTGATTTACTTATTCTTCCTTGCTTCTCTTTTTAATGAAATCTACCAACAAGACCCAAGGTTTATTTTTTCTTCTATCATCTATAACAAAGCATGGGAATACATAGATTGGAAATAACTCCAAAAAAATTGGAAACAAAGAGGAATTTTAGGATTGAGGGTTCTATATAAACAAAATCTGGTTAGTAAGCCCTGGTTAAGAGCACTGTCTATGGTATGCTTTGATTTTTAGATCATAAAGTAGAGTTGAAATGTCAATGAGAAATAAGACTTATTGCTTTTATATTAAGCATGTTTCAGAACCCTGATAGGCAGTAACTTCTGAGATTATTTAATAGGAAATTTTCAACAAAATTAACAACAAATAAAAATGAACATCAAATATAATAAAATAGTTTTAAAGAAAATTCAGATTAAAATCCATTGCTAAAACAATGCTCATTTTTATATTTTTATTCATTACCATTATTATCCACCCATTTCCACATGTGGGAAAATCGCATAATTGTACATTACATTAATGGGTTTGAAAACTAGACTGTTAATTTTTGTTCTTTTCCTATGCTACGCTAAGTGAAATATAATTCCAGATTGGTTTCTAACATTGTCTGTTTTATTAAAGACTAACGTCACATCAAGAGTATTTTCTGATTCATGTCCTTCAGGATTTAAAATATTTTTCCCAAATTTGAAAGAGAGAGAGAGAGTTTTTATAGAATCTCTATAATCAATAATTGTTGGTTTTGAGCAGTGAATGGAAAACTGCTGAAGAATAATTCTGACGCAGGGAAAAAAACCATACTTGAGAGCAAGAGTTTTCTTTTCAGGCAACAATATTGTTCATTAAATTAGGAAGAATTTTTCTTTTGGCATCATGGGATGTATTGTGCCTATGATAGTGACTACATACTATTATCTTCTATCATCTTAAAAAAATGACTGTGATTTCCATGTATTTAAAATTAAATTCCTCAAACCTTCTCTCTTAACAATTTCTGCCAAGCTGTATACCTACACACACACACACACACACACACACACACACACACACACGGATGACTGAAGAGGAATAAGAGGCAGTTGGAACAAAAGGAGACAGTAGCCCCCAGAAATTGCCTTAAAATAACCACTAACACCTGCTACTATAAGCCCAATAAAACACAGATAATAGTAAGTAAGTCTTCTCTCAGAGTAGTGGATTGGGGGAACAAGATATTAACTACCTGAAAACAAAAGGTTGAACCCTTGTATTTCAGAGTCCAATGACTAGCCTTTCTGTCTTATTAAAGAGGCAGCTCCTGGTCATCAGGGAGGAGTTCCAGCCACAGAGCTCTCTGTCTCTGATCTAAAGACGTGATGGTCTGAGTGGCCACCCCCAGAAAACTTGAAATCTATTGAGTCCTAACTCAAAGTAGGTCTCAACCCAAGCTGTTCCCGGGAATGGATAGCTACTGTGTATTCATTGTTTCCTTCCTTTATGCATACATGGATGCCATAGTGAATGTTCTTATAGGCATTAAAATTAACAATAAAAACACCCACCCCCCAAAAAATAAAAACTAAAATGAGCCAATTTTCTAAATAATACCCAAAAGAAAAAGAAATTTTATTTACGAAATGTCCACTCTTGTTAAATCCCACTGTTATTTTAGTATTTGATTCCAGAGGTTTCTGGTATATGCTTCAGTTATGTCTAATTATCATCCTCTTGGTGACACCGAACAATAACTACCTGTCACCACTTTCTCTAAGCCAGTGTTTCCCATTCTTTAATGTGTATCTGAATCACTCTGGGATCTCAACATGTTAAAATGCAGTTTTTTATTCAGAGGTTTGGGATGGGGTCTGATAGCCTACATTTTTAACAACTCCCAGGTGATGCCGATTGCTGGTATATGGACAGCACTTTGAGAAGCAAGATTGTAGTACATTATTCTAAGGGCTAGCATTATTAAGAAATGAACCTTTTTTCCTCTTAAATTTCTCTAAAGATGATATTTTTCAAACTAAGTTTCAAGTTAACTCCCAGGTAGTTAAACAGGTAGCTGTGCTCAGAGGGGAAAATTGAGTGTAACAGTTGATGACAAGGCTGATAGGGCTTGACTTAAACTAATAAGCAGTCCTCCTAACTGTGCCAATACTTATGAGTCCACCAGCCTTTAATGATGGCTATGAAAATGTTGCCAAGCCCAGTAATTCGGACAACACTATCCTGCTGCTTTACAATGACTTTTCTTCTTCAGAATAAAGAACATTGCAAACTGGCTTTCACCCCACTAGGAGCTTGCAATAGCTTTGTAAAAGAGCCTAAACATACTCTTGCTGCTGTCAGTAAATTCCCTGAGGCTATAACAGAATTCCTTTGCAAATAGAGCAAATAGGTCAGTACCATTTAAAGGCATGAACAGATATCAGCAGTTAAAGATATAAATACGTTTTTCTCTTATATGAGTAATCAACCAGGTCTCACTTTTAGGTGCTGGGTTACAACGTTGTACCATCTGGAGAAGCTAAGAGAGCTTCTCCTTTGCCTTTCTGTTTGGAAATAACAGAAAGATCTTTTTGTACTCCAAGCCACATCAAAGCAAGCCTATCCAGGTTTTTTAAAGTTTGCAGTCACATTTGAAAGACTGTGTTCTTAGGATTACGTGACCAGACTAGGTATTACAGTGTGTAGTACAATGAAAACAGTAGCATTTATTGAACATGTCCTATGTATAAGGTATGGCTATCAAATGCTTTATATTAGTAGCTCATTTAAGGCTATAGAATTATCATCCCCCATTACAGATGGAGAAACTGAGGTGGAGAGAGGGA